TTCAATACTTTAGGCTGCAGCCACATGTTTCCTTTGAAAACCTCGTGCATTCGACAATGCTCTTGCATGGAGAAAAGCCGAGGAATGCTGGTTTGAGCGGACACGTTGAACATAGTTATATTGACATTGATATATTATATATATAGGTATAGATAAAAACTATATTATGTGATACACCTATAGAATAGAATAGCGTGTTATGTTGCGTATACCAGCCGTACCAGCGCGTATACCTAGCGTGCGGTATACCGGCCATGGTTTCTTTCGTCTGCTTTGCGTCGCGCGACGTGCCCCGAAGCGTTCGTTCGCTCCAACTCCAACCGATCGCCGGACGGAGATGTCGAAAGTTGCGAGACGGAGGTGACGGACGTTGCTGTGCAGCATGTGTTTGGACGTAATTTAACTGAGTTAGGTTCTGCTGTTTGGACTCATGTAATAGATGAGATAGTGCAGAAACCATCCAGCACTCCAATTACTATTTGGGTCGCCGACGTCGTTTGTGGAAGCCATCTCTCGCCGACGTCGGCGACTTCGTTTGCGGAAGCACGCAGAGGACGCGACGGCATCGGTGCTGCACTGAAAGGACTGGGGCCCCAATTCACTGAGGAAGGTCCCAAAAAGACCTTGGAGGCGATGACCGACTGGATGATTTCCAATGTCGGGGATTGATTGAATTGTACATACTATCAAAGGAATGGGTCAGTCCCCTATGGACCATGGACATGAATCTCACCATGCCTTTGAAATGCTTTCACAGCATTTTGAGGATCTTTCGAAAAGTCTCGTAACAATGACGTATTTTTTAATAAGCCAACACAGGTTGAAGAACCGTATAGACCAGCCCATAGGTAGACTAGTCGGTTCCTATAGGATCACTTTACAAATGAATGGTGATGAAGTTGATGAAGTCCGAAGGCAGGGAGTGGCGCAGGCAGGGGGCCACGGGAGTCTCAAGGCCCAATGCACAGTGCAGATCGAAAACGTGGCGCAGTGACGCCCAATGCGCAGCGCCGATGAAAAGAGGCTGCTATGGAGGGATGGGAGAGAACATCCCTAGAATATGCCAAGGACAGAGGGAGTACTGCTCAGTCCTCTTCAAACTCTTTGCCTCAAAGTTTTGGGATTTTAGGTTAGTTGATGCTTAGTTCCAATGCCAAGAGCAACCTTTTTGAATAGCATCCAATGGCCGGTTCATTCTGCAGCTGATGCGGAGTTCGCACATGGGTGCGGGGAGAGTGGGTGCGTTCGCAACACTGGCGGAGGGGAACGCGTTGGGTCGGTCTGACCCCTTTTCGACGGGGAAGTGGACATTCGTTGGGTCGGTCACCTCGCGGGAGATGTTGCTTCCGCCTCGGCACATTTTGGGAAGCTTGAAATGGCTTCTGTTATGACATTCCTTTGGCCACAGCACACATCCAGGGAAATGGATGTAAAAATGCATACCATGTGCCCTAAAATGCATGTTGAAAATGGATGTTGTTTCCTAGGGTTTCCAACTAGTGTAGGTCATGTAGAATATTTTTTTGACGCTCAAACATGTCATGAGCTTTGCTTAGGATTGTGTGTTTGATGCACGCAAAGCAAGAGCTAAAAGTTAGTATATTAAATGTGTTGGTGGAGATTTTGGACTATTGTTAGTAGAGATGTTTTTGAATACATGGTCTAAGGCCCAGGTAACTTCAAAAATGTAACAATGCCTTGCATGTGTGACTTATGAAAAAGCCACACGTCCTAGGTTGACAAAACAGCGAAGCAAAGCACTTCTCACCTCCCTTATGGAGCTGTTGCCTCAACTGCTACTGGGCAATTGTAGGTAGTCTCAACAAAGCGTCCTTGAGATGGTTCTCAACATGTTGAGATGATATCCATTTTTGATATGCATTTACAACATGTTGATATGCATTTTGTGAATTTGAGTTCTGGCTGAAAGGAAAGTCATAAGGCTTCTGTAGAAGGTTCTTTGCGAGGGCTACAACTTCTGTACATGCACTTAGTAGGTTTCGCTAGATGAAATGTAGTGTCAACACCTGATTAATAAACGCCCCCCCCCTTTCAAGGTCAGCAGGTCAACAAAATCAACAAGGTTTGAGATTGGAGGTATATGGAGACCACATCCCCTTAATAAAGGTGATGACCTGATGATGAGATGATGACCTGGACCTGATGATGGTTTGAACCATGAGAACCATGAGAGCCCTGCGTATATTGGCACAAGCTTGATAAGAGATCACATAGGATAGATCAGAGAGCCATGCCAAAGAGAAAGTACATAGTAAAGACTTATATAACTATATAGTGAACTAGGGGCAGCTGGGCTTGATTAATAGGGGGAGGTTTCTGGTAAGGAAACAGTATTAGGGTGATGTACATGTGAATTCAGGTTTCAAATTAGTTTAGTATTGGGTCGTCGAGCTGGGCTTGATTCATAGGGAGTGGTTACTTAATCCTGTGTCAACATTAGTGCATCAATGTCTGACTGTCACACACTTCTTCGAGTTCCGCTTCTTCAACGGTGCCGCGTGGTGGTTGACCACGGCTAGTCACTGCTGCAGACCTCTGCTCTACCATGGCTATCAACTGCGTTCGTCCCTGAGCGCGCGCATGGAGGTGATTGAAATCACCAAAGAGGATTTGCTGAAGGAAGATGACCAGGATTTGCTGGAGGAAGAGAAGGCGAGAGTTTCAAACAGTCGAGTCGACTACTACGTTGGGGGATTTGGACGACTTTGGCTTGGACGAGTGGTGGGCAGATGCCCCAAACTACCAGGAAAATACTAACTTACATCTACATAAAGTATATTTATATAGCATGAATCATGAACATAGAGCTCTTGTTTTTGCAGGGTTAATGATCAGACACACCTCTTGACGATGGTGTGATGATATCACCAGCGACCGCGTTTGGCTTCTTCCATTCTTGATCCTTTGCACGATGGTCGATAGTATCAATGGCATTGTCGTTTGTTGGGCTCACACAGTCTTTTTTAAAGCTAAATATATTTTGAGATCGCAGCTCGGTACTTTGTATCCTCGTCCATCTTCCGCAATGCTGTAGGATTTGAACGACTACTCCTGTTCGGGTGGTAAGGTTATTTTTGGAGGATCAGACCGGCGGTCCCCCAGCATACCGCTGTTCCATCTCTTTTTGGGCGCGCCGGCAGACCGTGAGGGCCCTCATTCAGACCTTGGACATAACACCCACAAGCGAACAGGTGGGGCTTGAACCCCTGCCAAATCCTGGGCAACGTGCTTCCCGAAAAAACATCTGACAGTCCGACGGGAGTAGTGAATCTGATCTACAAACTTATCAAACGCCCAGGTTTGTTTGGCAATGCGACTGCGACGGTAGGCCGACATCACTCTAGTCTCACTGGGCTCACCGTGAGCGGAACACTCCGACCGTGTAACCCGCGTGTTCCGCTCACGTTCATCGTCCTAGACCGGGGTGACGGAGGATGGACCATAGCGCCGATCCAAAGCGTGGTGTGTGGTGTCCAGGTGGTTCGAAGGTCTGCTGCAGCAACACAGCAGCCTGACCGAGTGGCATCCCGACCGAGAAGAAGACCGCACTGACTAGATTTGTCAGAACTGGAAAGACCAGAAGAGAAGCGGCCAGAGATTCGGTCGTTGGTCTCGCTATCGGGTTTTACATCCAAAGGTGCAAAGGGTGAGAAACTCAGCGAGGCATGTTACCAGACTGTGGACCCAGATTGCTGTGTACCTCAAAGGGGCGAGAGGACCGGCAGTATGTTGCGCACCTGAGCTCTGCGTGGAGCAAATAGCTCTCGCAGGAAAAATTTGCTGTAAAGGTGGCGTGAGATGTGGGAATGGGCGAGGTCTTCCATCTGTCGCAAACATGGTAAACACGTTGGACACGCAATGTTCCTGGTGATGAATGCGCTTGCTTCTTGTGTTTGGTGTTACGTTTTACATTGGGATTGACTATTCAGGCGTGACTTAGGCATGACTTGTTGAATCCAGCGCTTACATGGGGACGGAGACGGCGGGCGTGACTTATTCGTGGCTTTGTTGTCCTGCTGTACGCTCCGAACACTCACCAATTATGTGGGGGTGGAGGGCGCCCCCTGAGTATACAGTCCTTTGATATCCTTTGTCTTTTTTTGCTGGTGTTTTTCTTTTATTAACGATTTGTTGTTCTTTAGACCTTTGTTTTATTTTGCTTGTTTTCTTCTGCTTCCATGGAACGCGCCGTGAGTCAGCGTGAGTCTTTGCACGCTCCACCCAGGAGCCGCTGGGCCACGATCCCTCCGAGCGTCGTGCTTGGACTCCCAGACCGTTTTCTCGGCGTTTTTGGGGCGCGAAATCCGTGGTTTCCGCAGTTGGAAAGGGGGGACTGAAACGAAGAATCTGTGGGAGGAACTGCAACTTCGTCGGTACCGGCTGTTCCATGATTTGGTGCAGACTACATGGTCATGTGGACCTGGACCTGACACTGCCTAAAGGTCACCCTTTCAACCAGCACCCAAGTTGTGCCTGCTATCTCGTTCAGAAATGTGCCTGACTTACGTGGTGTGTGAAACATGATGCAGTATTGAGGCATGAAGATCGCGGTGGTCTGGGATACGCACAAGCAAGTGGTGGTTCTGGAGTGTGGGTCAAGTGTCAGACAACTACCCAATCTTTTAATATAGACGTCTTTTAATTGCATTTGTTCCCTTGTCATGACACCACGTGAGATCATCTACGATGGAAAGACTCCGACACCAACCAACTGGGCACATGCTTCTTGTTTCCCTTTCTCAAGAACGGCATCATCCGAAGGAAAAGGCATCGCCAGGGCAGTTTTCTAGCAGGGCGGTCCAAATCAGCAGTCGACGGTTCGCAATCGTCGTTTTGGCCCATGGACGCCCAAAAAGCTCCCAATCAAAGACCACGACTCTTGGAAACACGTACCTTTCGATTGATGGCGCCCCTTCCCTTACGGTCTTGCCGCACCGCCGGGCCCGTCCAGGACATGGAAGCGCAGCTGCGGGAGGTCCTGACGCCCACGCCGGAGCTGCTGGAGCGCGTGCACCGGGCCGAGGCGGTGTTGGGACCACTCCCTGGCCTCTTGGACCCTCCCCCCTGGGTCCGATGGTTGTCCTCTACCAAGGTCCAAGGTTGGTGGTTTTCAGGGTCCATGGGATCGTCTAACTTGGGGTGATTTTACTTGTTTGCAGCTCATGGTGCGCAGGCGATTGCTACAGTTCTGCAGTTCTGTTGTTAAGCCCCACTCCATAGAGAAGAACACTCTGCATGCAGGGCATGCAGTGTTAGTGTGACCAAATCATTTTGCACTGCACAAAGATATAAAGTTCTATGGTGTTCTATCATGTGTATGCAATTGTAAATATAAGTGTTACAACCCGTTGCCCTCCTTTCCAGGTAGCAACCACCCGGTAGAGATACCTTTGCTTCTTTTCGGTTCTCCTCTCCGACTCGAAACTCAGGCGGCTGCAGCGCGGACGTTCCACACTGGGCAGCGGCAGTCGTTGGGAGAGCTCTTGGCGCAGAACCAGCACCTGGCACAGATGGCGGGGAGCCCTGGAGAGTGTGCATGGAGGGTGGGTGAAGAGGCAGCGGAGGCAAGTCAGATGCGGACTCGGACGATGAAGAAGGTGAGGGTGTCTCGCATTTGGGGAATTTCAAGAAGTGAACTCATTGTTTTCCCATTTACTCTTGAGGTTGGATTGGTGGCATGTTATTGGGAGACTCTCCATGCTTAAAGCTACCTGGGCAGAGGTCTTTG